TTTAATATTTGACTTCCTTGTTCATTATTGAACTTGCTACTTATTTTAACAGTTCATTTCAAGACGGAGTATTTATATCGGAGGAAATGCTTAACATGACTAGCTGCTTTTAGCGAGAGATCTGGTTTTGGTGGCTGATAATGTTGTTTGTTTATTTGTTGTTTAACGCCGCACTCAGCAATTTTCTGGAAAAGAAATTGTATGGATCGATGTTTGTGATGTCAATCACTGGATTGTCTGGTCCTGACTCGATTATTTACAGACCGTCGTCATATAGCTGGAATATTGCTGAGTGCGACGTTAAACAACAAACAAACAAACAGTGATTGAGATCATGATCATCGATCCTCAAAATTGGGATACGGAAATTGTATGAACCAAGTCAGCGGGCCTGACCACCCGATCCCGTTAGTCGCCTCTTACAAAAAGCATGGGTTGCTGAAGGCCAACTCTTACCCGGTATCTTCATGGGGTAGCTGATAATGTTGCCAAGTTACAACGAAGATTAAATAAACTTCAAGACTATTCTATGATGTGAGGTGTGGATATCAATTTAGAGAAAGTAAAGTCGTCGTGTTTAGAAAGGGCGGAACACTGTAAGCACTTCAAAGTAAACAGCCTGACCAGGTACTGGCTTCGTCTCTTGAGAATGTCACTTCAGAAGCATCCTCATCAATGCCAAAAATGTTAGAAAGTATAAATTGATGGAAAACACAAAAATCGGGTTACATGCGTGAGTAAGATACTATTCCCACATGGTTTTGGGTATGTATGGATTGCACAATGTTACGTGTCAATTCCCAAATTGAAACAATAAGTTAATTCAGAAATATGTTAGTAAAAGAACCCAGTGTGAACAACCAGCAAGTGGTATACAATCAACAAGGGTATTACAAAAATTAACTAGGTACACATCAATACAATCTACTGCACAGCAATGACAGTGGCAGTACACAATATTGTGGGAGTACAATATATATTCAATGGCAATATAATATGATGGCAGTGGTCAGTATCAAATACAAAAATAAAGTGGTGATAGGATAAGTCAGTGACAAAAAGATATATTCACTCAGCGTCGACAACAGCCAAGCTTCCGGTAGGGGCTAGGCAGTAAATCAGGGATGATGACCGATGTTCTCGAGAAACCTGGTACCTAAGCGAAGAAAAACGTAAGACACGAAATGTGTGAGAGATAAGTAAACACGTTCTTGTTCCACTATAAATATACAACCAAACCAGCCACTGGACAGTTCAAGACAGTACTAATTGTATACGTTTCCTTGATATGTGTTGTTTTCTTATTGAATGTTTTGGCGCATACATTTCTAGATTTTCTTATTGTTTCAATTTGGAAGTCGAGAGGTAACACAATTATGGTCACCACATTCTTCACGTTACCTGATGATAATCATTCTCGAATATCATTGGAAAGATATATGTCATTCAGTAAATAATTATTATAATTCTGTTGAATACTTATTTGTTCTTATCATTTGATTGATGTTTTATTGACATTTCATTGCTATTTTCAAGACGAGAGATAAATATTTTATAGGTTTAGTCTATACTGAATCATTACATGTCGTATACAGTGTCGTTCTACACGACTTGAAACGTGTCAAGACAACACGGGGGACGTCACATGGTGATATATTATATTGGCTATATCCATCGTCAGGTTGGTGGTATATGTCAGAGGAAGCGTCTGGACATTTGTGTCCGGAGTGGTACATCCTGTGCTTCTCTAAGATTTCTTCAGGATGAAGTGTCTCGGTGACAGTGGGAACATGCTTCTGATAGTAGCAGCTTATTCTGTTATAACATTGTCAACGTGCAGGAGGAGTCCATGCACCCTTTTCGTAAGAGACACATCAATTCAAAACTGTGTCACGATCGAGAACATTGGCTTTAAGTTGTGCCAGGTCAGATGTATTGAACAAGGTGGCTGTTTGAGTTTTGAATACTACTTGGAACTTCTAACCTGCCACCTACTGAGTGCTGAATCAAAGAATGTTGAGAAGAATGCAGGACACATATTTCGTCTGAGGAATCAAACCGAAGTACGTTTAACACATGTTGTAATGATTTACCTGTTGAGACCCATAATAATCTGCATCATACAAAATTCTGAAAAAATCAATTACATGAATGTTTATGACAGAAACAGAATTTATCGGGAAAGCTACGTTTTAGCCATTTGTTGTTTCAACAAAAACAACATTGTGATGAATTTTCACGATCTGTCACAATTAATGCATATATGAACAATTCCTTCAGTTATTCTTTGGAAACATATCCCTAAATGAACAATACGCTTACTCCTTTTTTGTGCTTAATGTTTGCGCCAACCTTAAAATAAACCAGCTTAGTCCTCCATATCTTCTATTCAGTCAGGATATAGTATATATATATATATATATATATATATATATATATATATATATATATATATATACTGAACAACAATAGTTCCTGTGACATTCAATAAGATTTAATGCAAAGTTAATTTTTTTACCAAATCTGAAACAATTTCGGTTTGCAACAGATAAAAGACTACTCTAAGTGTTCAAATGGTTTAATTTGCCGTACTGACTTCAGAAAATACGTGATTTCATAAAAAAACATCAACATGCCAAAATGTCAATTTACAAATCAATAGCATGTGTGTCCACATCTGGTTGCGATGCATGGAACACATCCTCATCTCGGGGAATTGACCAGGCGTCGCAAAAGTCCTGTGGGATACCTTTCCATATCTGCTGGAGCATGTTTCGAAGTTCCTGGAGTGGAACACGTGGTTGACGTCAAAGGCGCCGATCCATCTCATCCCAGATGTGCTCGATTGGTGAGAGATGAGGGGAGCGAGCCGGCCACGGGATGACATTCACGTTGTTTTGTTGAAGAGATTTCCTGAACAAGTCGAGCAATATAATGCCGGGCGTTGTCATGTTGAAAGATGATCTCGTCGCGGTAGCGCTGTCCAATGAGATTTCCCTCCACCACTATCAAACGGGTCCTCTGTCTTGCTGTAATCCCATCCCATACCTTACACTGCCGCCCCCGAACCGATCTTCCTCCATGACACAATGATTGACGTAACGTTCACCTCGACGTCGGTACACTCGAATCCCTCAATCGCTATGGCTGAGGTGAAAACGAAACTCGTCAGTGAATAGAACTTGTCCCTACTGCATGGCCGTCCAGCGTAGACGCTGTCTGCGAACACTGTAGACGTGCTTGACGGTGGTTTCCTGTCAAAATGGGACGTCTGACGGGTCTTCTGGCGACAATCCCTGCACACCTGAGGTGTCAACGTATGGTTTGTGAAGATATTCGTCGAAGGCCAGGGATGCTTGTTGCAGTCACTGTTGTTGGCTGAAATCGATTTCGTAGGTTTTTTGTTCGAATCAAGTTGTCATATCGATTATTGGTTACGTTGGGCCTGCCACTCCGAGGATGGTCTTTGACTGCATTCGTCTGTATTGAAAACCAAACCTTACTTGTTGGAAATATACACTAAAATATTGGTGTCACAGGAACATTTGTTGTTGAATATATATTGTATATTTTGTATAATTCCCTGATTATTCATATATACTTTTGTAGAATGATACCCACTGTCTACGCTGGTGTACCAAATATTAACGATAAAAGTTTTCTGTTTTTGTTTGTTTGTTGTTTAACGCCACACAGCAATATTTCAGTAATATTGCGACGGTCTGTAAATAAACCACTGGATGTTCTGGTCCAGACTCGATTATTTACAGACTGTCGTCATATAACTGAAATATGTCTGAGTGCGGCGTTAAACAACAAACAAACAAATATACAGTGATTGAGATCATGAGCATCGATCTACTCAATTTGGATACGATGACATGTATGAACCAAGTCAGCAAGTTTGACCACCTGATCCCGTTAGTCGCCTCTTACGACAAGTATAGTCGCCTGTTACGGCAATCATGGGTTGCTGAAGACCTATTCTCTACCTGGGTCTAAAGATAAATGTGTATGTACACAAACATAGATGCATATAAAGGTATACATCCAAACATACACATGAGCATCATCCGCATTATGTATGCAGACATGTAAGAACTAACACAACAATATATAGACTGACACTCAAAAAGGAACTGTAACCACAATCAATATACAGATGTTTGTTTGGGGCAACTATTTCCATACTATCCATTAACAGACATGAATGCCATGCCCACGGTAACTATACAGACATGTTTGTATATCAACAAAAACCCGTTGCATATAGAACACACACATCATGATCATATAGTTTTTCTTACTTCTGACCAAAGGTTCCGACAAGCCCTTGTGTAGCCAAGTCTTGCAGTGTCACGACCCGATGTTTGAAGGCTCGATCTGGAAAATCGGTTTGTGTTACAGGTAACTGCATCATTATGTTTAAGACAAATGTTCCTCAAAATTAAGAATGTATTAAACATGAAATCTCTTATACATGCCACAACAATTTCTACATTTAATGTTAAATTTCCAGAAAGAAAACTATCATCCACAGAAACAGTACACTCGCTGCTATTCTGTGCTCAAACAGATAAAAAGCAAATAGTGATAAAATTTATATGAATGGATCACTGAAAATCAGTAATGACACCTGGTGTTTGCCAATAGGGCATTGCGGTACCAACTGCCACTCACAATTTTCAGATAAAAGGTATTGTTTGTTGGTTGCCTTTATACCGCATCCATCAATACTTCTGTAAACAATCGGTTCTGTTCACGACAATCCAGTGATCAGTATCATGAGAAATTGTCCATGTCGTCGGGGTACGAATCCACACTGTCAACCAAGTCATCTCATCACCAACCACACAAACAAAATGAATTGAAAGACTACAATCAAACTCTGGTAATTTATTTAAAATATTTGTATACAATTTGCAATATATTCATTTAGGTGGAAAGCAGTTCTCTCCTGAAAGATACATACCAGATAAACCATGTGACCACAATGGCAGGTCAATGGACAACCAAGTTCACGATGCATGCTGGGAGGGGAACCTGAACATGGTGAAACGTATCTTGTCTGAGGGGCAGCTGGATGTCAACAGCAGGGACAGACGGGCAAGGACACCAGTGATGGCGGCAGCATGCGCAGGACATGGGGGCGTGGTAAACCTTCTCATAAATAAAGGAAGTAATGTGTCACTTGTTGATGATCACGGTAACAACATTCTACATATAGCCTCTTGTATGGGACATGTGGCAATGGTAAAATATATCTTATCACAGAATATTGTTGACATCAACAGTAGAACGAAGTGCAAAAGGACACCTGTGATGATGGCAGCAAACAAGGGTTATAGAGATGTGTTTGCCGTTCTTGTAAGTGAAGGAGCTAATGTGTCATTGACAGATCGACAAGGTAACAACATCCTACATTACACCTGTGCTGGGGGTCATGTTGAGATGGTAAAATATGTCCTCTCGCTGAACAAGGTAGACATCAACAGTAGAGGACATCACAGATGGACATCAGTGATGGTGGCAGCAAGACTGGGAAACAGAGAAATGTTTGACTTACTTATAAGTAAAGGGTGTGATGTGTCAAATGGCTATGGATGTACCAACATCCTTCATGCGGCTTGTATTGGGGGACATTTGGAGATAGTTAAATATGTTATCTCTCTTGACCTTGTGGACATCAACAGCAGAAAAGGGTTTGGGAAGACACCACTGATGGTGTCAGCCCTGAGGGGAGACAAAGATGTGTTTGATTTCGTTCTGAGCAAAGGGGGTAATATGTCAATGGTGACAAAACGAGGCATGAACATCCTTCACTTGGTCTGTCAGAAGGGAAATCTAGACATGGTGAAATTCATTCTTTCAAAGGACCTTCTGGAAATTAACGTCAGGACCAACGAAGGCGTCACAGCCACGTTGATAGCAAAACGAAAAAAGAACATTGAACTGTATGACTTTCTCGTATCGAATGGAGGCCAATAGGTTTTATTCTTTTCTAGGACATCTACGTTTAGTATGACGTCAGGATATGTGAATATATGTACCAGACTAGTCCTTGTTTCCGGAGCAGATCTTGAAAACGGTATGATATTTCTTCACCAAACGTGGCACATGGATAGGTCTAGTGATGAACTGGTGCTGATTGATAGTTTGAGATTTATAAAGAAAAATCGAGTTTCAAGGGCAACGACTTTGACTTAGACTGAAAATGGCAGTAGTCCTCTTTTCTGGAGCAGATCTTGAAAACCGTATGATATTCCGTCACCAAACGTGGCATATATATAGGTCTAATGATGAACTGGTGCCGTTTGATAGTTTGGGATTTATAAAGAAAAATCGAGTTTCCATGGCAACCACTTTGACTTAGCCTGAAAATGGCTGTAGTCCTCGTTTCCGGAGCTGATCTTGAAAACCGTACGATATTTCTTCACCACCCTTGCATATAATATCATCTCACAGTATTGAATACATTTCCTTTCTTGTTGGCAAGTTCTGCATTGCTTGTGTGTATGTTCCTCCAAATGTGTCATAGACACGGTTGACGTATTCTCTTACTAACTTCATGCAGAAACTTCAGGATATCCCAAAGCAACATGAATGTGAACATGTCATGTTACTGGGGATTTCAACTGTCATCTGAGTAAAAAACTGAAACTTGAAGATTTCTTTAATGTGCTCAATGACTCAACTCATTCACTCTCCAACTCACTGTCTTGCAGCTAGACTGGACTTGTTGTTTACTGATAATGCCAATGCTGTAGCATTCCAGACTCCAGTCTACTACCCAGATCATCAGATGATTGGTGCTGTACTTCTCAGTACACCTCATGGTGACTCCTGCTCTCATTTAAGTAATAACACAACTCATTACAAATACAACAGTGTAACTGATCTTAAACCTACTTAACTGTATGAACTCTGCCTCCTATCCTGTATATATTCTTGTCAACTATACTCTGTACTTCACTTGCTTGATAACAGTGTTAGAACCTACACTGAAATGTCGCTCCTAACTGTAATAAAGAAATTGTTCGTCCATATGTCTCATCCTTACTCATTACAAATACAGTTTCATATTCTATCACAAACTGCAGACGGCAAAACATTACCACTTATAACGTTTTATTAGGCCATTTACAAAAAGGTCCAGTGAACATTTCACAGGAGCTAATGCATTGCACACAACTGGACATGTCATATTGACGGGGGATATTTCATGCTTGTTTAAATTGTCTTTATATTCACGTATATACTCATACATTCCTGTAAGACTTTGATTCTTGGTGCTCTGGTATATTTTCTATTTTTTATGACACATTTTTGCTTTATTATATTTCTTTCAAAATCGCCTGCATTCTATTCCGAACAAAGGTTTATCTTTTTTTGCGTTTTTAACACTGGTTTCTCGGAATTTTCATTGGTTGTAATATTTACGTTTCTAAGAGGAATATATAATGCTGAATAGTAGGCCCTTGACTGGATTACTTAATAAGAATATAGTGAGTGAGTGAGTGAAGATTTATAGTCACGTCGGCAATATTTCAGCCATATCGCGACTAAATGAAGTTGTACATTAATAATATATAAATATAGACATTAAAATCTTTCGACAAAGGAGAGTAAAAACACAAGATTATCACAGATGTAGATTTAAAACTAGCATATCATCATAAAATTTGAAAATTCATAACAGTACACAATACTTATGGGCTAAAGATCACCAATAACCAAAGGTAGGTCACCATACTAGGTACCATGGGGACTTACGATACTTCTGCTACCTACATAGTAACCCAGCAGGATTTACACCATCGCTCTGGCTACTGGTGATTGTCACTAAGTTTAAGCCAAATCATTAAAAAAAAAAAAGAATTCTACGATTAAAAACATGGAAAATGAAAAATACTTTGAATGAAATGGGACAATTATTTTACGTTTCTTCAACCCCCTTTGAAGGTACAGCCACCAACAATCTATGTTATTAATTCATTCTACCAAATTAAAATCATGCACTTTTTACAATACATATCAAAATGTATCAATCAATTCTATTTCTTTTAAAACCCCAAGAAATAGACGAGAACTTACAGTAAAAAGATCCTTTATGGATGAAACTTTCAAATAATTATCCCCTGTGATGAAAAAATAGCTACAGTCAAGCAAGACATGCTTGACTGTGATTCTTTCATTACAAGGGACACAAAATAGAGGATCTTCACCTTTCAACCAATACTCATGTGTATAACGCGAATGGCAAATACGACATCGTCGCATAATGACCTCTTAAAATCTGGACTGACAACCCAAGTAAGTGTAACCGATATTTGCTTTTATTGCATGTAATTTATGTACCCACTGGAGTGTCCCACTTTTGCATTAGGTCTTTGATATAACATCTAATTACTGGCTTATAGTCACTGTATGGTATAAACAGTGGTGTCACAGATTTGTTCAGTGCTGCTTTTGCTGCAGCATCAGCCATAGCGTTACGCGTGATTCCAAAATGACTTGGTAACCAACAGAAAACGATGTCGTATTGGCCAGTAGCAAGCTCATCATATGGTTCATAAATATCTAGAATTAATAGATGACTTGAAGAGCTCGATGTTCATACCTGTAAACAAGATAGAGAATCTGAGAAGATTCCTGCTAGATTGATTTTGAATATTTTCCAAAGCCGTTAATATGGCTTTGGCTTCAGCTGTGAAAATGGAGCTATGGTCTGGTAATCGGGATGATACGGTTTTTGATCCAATGACAGCAGCACTGGAGACTGTGCTACGATCCTTTGATCCATCTGTAAAAATGGAACGGTGGGATTCATATTAAGTTCTAACTTCTATATATTCTTGTTGGTATATTAATTGATTCGTGTCTGATTTTTTAAATTGTGTCAGAATTAAGTCTACCTCCCGTCTGATAAGTTGCCAGGGGGGAGAAGACAGAAGCCTGAAAGGCGAAATGTTATCTAAATCAATATTTGCAGCTGTAATATGGGGTTTAATCCGAATGCCTAGTGGTGGGACCAGCTTAGGCTTACTATGAAAAAAGTTATTCGTAAGGGGGTTGAAATATACAGTTATATGCAGGGTTTAACGGGATAGAATGTAATTTTGTAATGTAAACAGAGTTACAGACAAAATAGTGCCTTGTGGGACATCCTGATCCTAATAATAATGGTCACACAGGGTGGAACCCACATGAACCTGAAATTGTCGGTCTGTTAAAAATTTTGATATGGATTGAGGCAAACGGCCTCTTAACCCCAAATCATGTAGGTCTTTTAAGATTGATACTGCATGCTGATTATTGACAAATGCATTTTTGACAAAGGATACAAACGTACCAGATAATCAATGGTACTTCTATTTTGACAGAAACCACATTGAATGTTACTTATGAGATTGTTAGTTTCCAAGTACCACACCCGTCGATTATTTACCATTCGTTCCATGGTTTTGCACACACCGGTTGTTAGTGATATTGGTAAATAATTAGATGCATCACTATGGTCCCTACCAGGTTTAGGTATGGGGACAACTATTGCATTACGCCACTAAGGAGGAAAATTCCCTGATGTCAAAACGTGATCAAATATATCAAGAAGTGTCTCTAAACATGAATCAGGCAAATGCTTCAGGAGTTGATAGTGAATGTTTTCCATGTTAACAGCTCATGTTGCATTATCGTGCACTTGACCTAAGGCAGTATTTAGCTCGTGGAGCGAAAATACTTCATTGTAATCATTTCCATTTAGAGAAGTAAAATCAACCTCTTCTTTGTGAGTGTTTTGCCAGCGTCTCGCCCAATTTATTAGCAATGTCCACTTTATCTGTTAATAAATGGTCACCTGCCTTGAGATGTGGACAGTCGATTTTGAGCCTTTGCCTTTAATTCTTGCAATCATGTTCCAAACCTTGGATATTGGCTTGCGAGAATTAATTTTTGAGACATAATTCCTCCCAAGACTAATGCTTATTCTGTTGGAATGTACGGCGTGCCTTGGCATTTGTGATTTTAACACAATTCAAATTATGTACAGTTGGATGTCGGCGGACATATTTCTCTGCTTTTTTCCTGCACATCCTCGCCTGTTTGCACTCATTGTCAAACTATAGTTTTCGTATGTGTGGTTAGCAGAGGACTTTGGAATGGTTATGTCGGCAATTTCCACCTTGATGTGGGTGATCAGATGGATTATTTGATGTTAGGATTGAAGGGAAATGATCGCTTCCACACAACTCATTGCGAAACGACCACGTAAATTCGTTTAAGAGATTGAAATCTGTAAGTGGCAAATCTAAAGTAGAATAGGTACCAGAAGCAGCATGTAAATATGTACTTGCTCCATCAGTGAAAATGCACAAGTTGCTATCGGAAATAAAATCTTCAAGGACATTACCTTTAGGATTAACGGCAACACTTCCCCATAAAGATCTGATTGCTCAAGCGCAGAAGAAGGGGAAATATATAGAGAGCTCAGAGTAAACGTTATGTGCAAAGTCAGTCTTACTGCAACAGCTTGAAGATTGGTTTGAAGCGCCAAACCAATCACCACGGGGAGGTTGCTCTTCACGAGTGCCTAATAAGAATATAAGTAAATGTATTACATATATGTTCCATAATGTAATTCCTCTGTAATTATTTGGGTAGGTCCTGTTTCTCTGTTTTTATGTCCAGGTATAAGTATTCGAGTTGACCAGGGTTTGGGAAAATGTCCACATTTCTTCGAAAAGAAAGGACCTGTATATATCTGGGGTAGAATAGGTCTTCATCAACCCATGCTTGCCGTAAAAGGCGACTATGCTTGTCGTAAAAGGCGACTAACAGGATCGGGGGGTCAGACTCGCTGACTTGGTTGACACATGTCATCAGTCCCAATACCGTGGATCGATGTTCATGATATTAATCACTGGATTGTCTGGTCCAGACTCGATTATTTACAGACCGCCGTTATATAGCTGGAATCTTGCTGAGTGCGG